TTGAAATGCCTTGCTGAAATGTGCTATACAAATAAAATTTGATTGATTGATTGATTGATTCTCCGCTTCCTATTGGACGAACGCGTACCACGTGGTTACATGTCATCGGATATTTTCCTTTAGTTGACTGATTTAGTTTAATTTCCCGCAACATACAAAGATTAAAACCGCCGGATCTTCATGAAATAAACACGCCACGGTCCACGCTTCGTTTGCAGGTTTAATAATGTTAAAGTTTGTGAACCGTGAGTCAAGCTTAGTGTCCCCGGAAAGGCTTCGCGTCCTCCCCGGCTCTTAGCATCGCTTCTCGGCCTTTTGGCTCAGATCAAGTGTAGTTTCTGTTCTTATCAGTTTAATATCTGATAGTCCCCTATATGGGACGTTGTATTAAATTGATTTTTGGGACAGGGAGATGGACTAGGGGCTTGCTCTGTCCTCTCCAAGCATCAACCTGGTATTGCAGTATATCCGGGGATGGTGCACTTACTCCGTTCTGTTATATGGTAATATTGAAACTCTGCTGGACTGGAGGTGACAAGCTGAGCTTTGAGTATAGTTTAACCAGCTGAAAGGGTATATAGACACCCTGCAAGTTGTTAACTTCTGGGATTTTTGTGTAACACATGGTATCCGTAGCCACACTGCGAAGGTAGAACAACCCCGTTAACAAAACGGGATTATTAATATAGAAGGTTCTAGTGACTGGCAGAGTAAATATCAATGATCAATTAATAGTTGTACTGTACTTATACTGCTAAGATAGGAACAAGGCAATAGCTAGCTCTAAGCTAACTCTAAGCTAGAGCTTAGAGCTAGCTTATCTATATTTCTGAGATAAATCTCAAATGTTTTACTTTTTGATGAAATTTTAGGTTTTTTTTTTTTTTTTTTTTTTTTAAGATTAATTTTGGGAAAATCTGAATTGTTTCCAGAAACACTCTTTGGGTTTCAGTGATGTAAGCGCTGCCAGGGCAGCCATCTTGTTTGACAAGCAACTTTTGCAACTTCTGTTTTTTTCTTGGACTTTGAATTCAGGTCAACAGGCTGAGATTTTTTCCCTTTTTAATGAGAATAAAGTCATAATATTAATGGAACACAGATGTAGTAAAATGAGAAACAACTGAGTATCTAGAAGAACGACTCAAACTGAGCAGGTTGAATCAGTTACTTGATAACTGTTTTTTTTTTCTCATAATTTTAAGACTTCCTTCTGGTAAAAATGCCTTTTTCTGCTAATATTATGACTGGTCACAATTAAACAAAGGAGCTTGACCTTAAAACTCTGTCATTCAATTCACACAAGGGGTGATTTGAAATAAAATCTACATTTGCAAAATATTTTCTGTCATTACTAATTGTTTTAGAGAAGAAAGCAAGAAAAAAAATCAAAAATGTTTTGATCCACATCGCTAAGTTTTGACTTTTGCTTTAATTTGTTTGGAGATGATTCATTTACCGTCTGTTACTGGTGACTCTTATTTTTCAGATACAGTTTTTACTAAAAATCTAAATGAAAGGATGACTTTTTTTTTTTTACATGTTGAAGATATAAGTGACATCACCAGAACTCATGAAAGCTGATTTAAAATACAGATTTTTTTAGCCAAATGAGAAATTAGCACATTAACAAACCAACTTTATTGCTTTTGTTATAAACTTCATTGAGAATTAATTTTATTGTAACAAAACCTCTTATTTAGTGTTGCACATTTTTCCCTCTACAATTTTCATAATGTTGCCGAGGGTTTGGTTTGTGCTGCTCCATCTTCCAGCTTTGAGACGCTGTGATCGGGTTTGAACTTCAGCAGAACCGCAGTTTATTCTCGTTCCTCCAACATGGCCTCGTTGCCCAGACCGAATCCTTTTGGGCCGAAGTTCTTGGCATAGCAAACTGAAAAGAAAAATGTATATCAATGTCTCTGTTTCATAGAATACAGTTTATACATTTTCTTTTGTATCAAAGGTTTAACTTTCCATGTTTTTTTCTTGAAAATTTTTACATTCATCTCTAAATTTTTGGTGTAAATTTACAAAAAAAAAAATTTGTTTGCCTATTTACCCGTCTAATACCAGAATATTACAATGTTCAATGATTTCACTGACCTCTGACCCAGAATCGCTCAGCGTTCTGGGAGATGTAGGCAAAGGAAAGACATTAGCCGCTCAATCTCTCGCAGCTAGTTCAGTGAAAACTGAATAAAACAGTAAGGTTACACAACGAGCTTGGTCACATTTCAAATATTTAAAACAATAAATAAATCAATAATTATTGATATCGACTGATATGAAACGCTTATATCGTAATAATATTTTCAGCCATGTTTGTGTTCACACAAATGCAGTTGGGTTAGTAGTAGTAAAGCTTTATTTGACTTTCCACCAACATGGGACTGGATATAAATCAGTCTTAAAGGGAGAATCATATTTCTCCAAAGAGTGTGTAGAGTTTTAGACTCTTTGTAATAAATGGCTTCACCTTTACAGTACAGCTCTCCGTCCTTATCCGTCACTGTGGTCGACTCCAGGCTTTTACCACACAGAGCGCAGCGGAAACAGGTTTTATGCCAGGCCTGGAAACACAATATAAATGTTTATTATTTTGGAAAAAATAAATATTAGCTTGATATAGGCCTGTCACGATAACAGATTTTGCTGAGCGATTAATTGTCTCAAAAATTATTGAGATAAATAATATTGTTTGGAGACCTTTTTACACTGATTTAACGGAAATTACATAATAATACATGTGATTTCCTGCCAAAGATAGATACACTTTATTTTAAAAAAACACTTAATGCTGGAACTGAAAAACAAAAACAAAATGGATTCTCAGTCTCCATTTACAAAAATTACTTGAATAAAAACTATATATATATATGGTAAATGGACTGAACTTATATAGCACTTTTCCAGTCATTTTGACCACTCAAAGCGCTTTACACTAGAGTCACATTCACCCATTCACACACCGATACGCAGACCGGTAGGCGATTTTGGGGTTAAGTGCCAGAGGCACTTCGACATATGGCAGGAGAAAGCTGGAATCGAACCTACAACCTTCCGATTGCAAGACGGCAACTCTGCCACACAACCACAGTCGCCCACTTTCAACTACTGAATTATAAAACCCTAGAAGAAATTATAAATCAATTAAGTTCAAGCTCCTGCTGTCTGGATGTCCTACCCACACATTTCTTTAACAAAGTCCTGCCTGTTATTGCTGCTGATCTGATCCAAATCGTAAACTCATCGCTTACATCAGGTGTTTTCCCCCAGGCTTTGAAAAAACAGCAGTCATCAAACCACCGTTAAAAAAGAACAACTGGACAAATCACTATTGCAGAATACAGGCCAATCTCAAACCTCACATTCATCAGCAAAGTTATTGAAAAAACTGTGTGTAAACAATTAAATAGTTTCCTCATGATGACCAACTGCTTTGACACTTTCCAGTCTGTTTTTCGTGCTCACCACAGCAACGGAGACTGCCCTCGTAAAAGTATTCAATGATATCCATATAAATATGGACTGTGGGAGAACACGGTGCTGGTTCTGTTGGACCTCAGTGCAGCTTCTGACACTGGGGACCATGACATATTACTGAATCGACTGGAGAGTTTGGGGGACTCTCGGTTCGGTCCTCGACTGACCTTGAATCAGGGATTTCTTTGTTTCAATTGAAAACTTCTTATCAAAGAGGTCAAAGGTCACATATGGGGTACCCCAAGGTTCAATCTTAGGACCCCTCTTATTTAATATTTATATTCTCCCCACTAGCTCAGTCATAACAGGAAATAATATTAGCTACCACACTATGCGGATGACACACAGCTCTACATTACGATGTCACCAGGTGACCTGAACCCATCCAATCACTGAATAAATGCTTAGAACAGATAAATGTGTGGATGTGCCAAACTTTCTCCAACTGAACAAAATAAAACTGAAGTCATTATTTTTGGACCTAAAGAGGAACGATCTAGAGTCAATGCACAGCTTCAGTTATTACAACTAAAACCTAGCGATCAGGCCCGAAACCTGGGAGTAGTGATGGACTCGGACTTGAACCTCCAGAGCCACATAAAGACAGTAACAAAATCGGCCTTCTATCACCTGAAGAACATCTCCAGGATTAGAGGACTAATGTCTCAGCCAGATCTAGAGAAACTCATTCATGCATTTGTCTTTAGTCACATTGATTATTGTAACAGCGTCTTCACAGGCCTGTCCAACAAATCAATCAGACAGCTGCAACTGATCCAGAATGCTGCTGCTCGCGTTCTCACTAAAACCAGGAAGATAGAGCACATAACACCAGTTTTAAAGTCCCTCCACTGGCTCCCTGTAGCTCAAAGAATAGATTTTAAAATACTGTTGTTAGTTTATAAATCACTGAACGGTTTAGCACCACAATACATCAAAGATCTGCTGTTGTTGTATCAACCTTCCAGACCTCCCAGGTCTTCTGGTTCTGGTCTGCTCTGCATCCCCAGAACCAGAACCAAGAGAGGAGAAGCAGCTTTCAGCATCTATGCACCAAAACTTTGGAACAAACTTCCAGACAACTGTAAAACAGCGGAAACCCTGACTTCTTTTAAATCGCAATTAAAAACACACCTGTTTAGAATTGGATTTGAAATGTAATATGTAACAATGTATTGTCTATTATATGTTGCATGACTTTGTGTTCTTGTGTTTTTGAAATGCCTTGCTGAAATGTGCTATACAAATAAAATTTGATTGATTGATTGATTGATTCTCCGCTTCCTATTGGACGAACGCGTACCACGTGGTACATGTTATCCCGGATATTTTCCTTTAGTTGACTGATTTAGTTTAATTTCCCGCAACATACAAAGATTAAAACCGCCGGATCTTCATGAAATAACACGCCACGGTCCACGCTTCGTTTGCAGGTTTAAAATAATGTTAAAGTTTGTGAACCGTGAGTCAAGCTTAGTGTCCCCGGAAAGGCTTCGCGTCCTCCCCGGCCCTTTAGCATCGCTTCTCGGCCTTTTGGCTCAGATCAAGTGTAGTTTCTGTTCTTATCAGTTTAATATCTGATAGTCCCCTATATGAGGACGTTGTATTAAATTGATTTTTCGGACAGGGAGATGGACTAGGGGCTTGCTCTGTCCTCTCCAAGCATCAACCTGGTATTGCAGTATATCCGGGGATGGTGCACTTACTCCGTTCTGTTATATGGTAATATTGAAACTCTGCTGGACTGGAGGTGACAAGCTGAGCTTTGAGTATAGTTTAACCAGCTGAAAGGATATATAGACAACCTGCAAGTTGTTAACTTCTGGGAATTTTGTATAACACATGGTATCCGTAGCCACACTGCGAAGGTAGAACAACCCCGTTAACAAAACGGGATTATTAATATAGAAGGTTCTAGTGACTGGCAGAGTAAATATCAATGATCAATTAATAGTTGTACTGTACTTATACTGCTAAGATAGTAACAAGGCAATAGCTAGCTCTAAGCTAGCTCTAAGCTAACTCTAAGCTAGAGCTTAGAGCTAGCTTATCTATATTTCTGAGATAAATCTCAAATGTTTTACTTTTTGATGAATTTTAGGGTTTTTTTTTTTTTTTTTTTTTTTAAGATTAATTTTGGGAAAATCTGGATTGTTTCCAGAAACACTCTTTGGGTTTCAGTGATGTAAGCGCTGCCAGGGCAGCCATCTTGTTTGACAAGCAACTTTTGCAACTTCTGTTTTTTTCTTGGACTTTGAATTCAGGTCAACAGGCTGAGATTTTTCCCTTTTAATGAGAATAAAGTCATAATATTAGTGAACACAGATGTAGTAAAATGAGAAACAACTGAGTATCTAGAAGAACGACTCAAACTGAGCAGGTTGAATCAGTTACTTGATAACTGTTTTTTTTTTTTTCTCATAATTTTTAAGACTTCCTTCTGGTAAAAATGCCTTTTTCTGCTAATATTATGACTGGTCACAATTAAACAAAGGAGCTTGACCTTAAAACTCTGTCATTCAATTCACACAAGGGGTGATTGAAATAAAATCTACATTTGCAAAATATTTTCTGTCATTACTAATTGTTTTAGAGAAGAAAGCAAGAAAAAAAATCAAAAATGTTTTGATCCATCGCTAAGTTTTGACTTTTGCTTATTTGTTTGGAGATGATTCATTTACTCCGTCTGTTACTGGTGACTCTTATTTTCAGATACAGTTTTACTAAAAATCTAAATGAAAGGATGACTTTTTTTTTTTTTACATGTTGAAGATATAAGTGACATCACCAGAACTCATGAAAGCTGATTTAAAATACAGATTTTTTTAGCCAAATGAGAAATTAGCACATTAACAAACCAACTTTATTGCTTTTGTTATAAACTTCATTGAGAATTAATTTTATTGTAACAAAACCTCTTATTTAGTGTTGCACACATTTTTCCCTCTACAATTTTCATAATGTTGCTGAGGGTTTGGTTTGTGCTGCTCCATCTTCCAGCTTTGAGACGCTGTGATCGGGTTTGAACTTCAGCAGAACCGCCAGTTTATTCTCGTTCCTCCAACATGGCCTCGTTGCCCAGACCGAATCCTTTTGGGCCGAAGTTCTTGGCATAGCAAACTGAAAAGAAAAATGTATATCAATGTCTCTGTTTCATAGAATACAGTTTATACATTTTCTTTTGTATCAAAGGTTTAACTTTCCATGTTTTTTCTTGAAAATTTTTACATTCATCTCTAAATTTTTGGTGTAAATTTACAAAAAAAAAATTTTGTTTGCCTATTTACCCGTCTAATACCAGAATATTACAATGTTCAATGATTTCACTGACCTCCGACCCAGAATCGCTCAGCGTTCTGGGAGATGTAGGCAAAGGAAAGACATTAGCCGCTCAATCTTTCGCAGCTAGTTCAGTGAAAACTGAATAAAACAGTAACGGTTACACAACGAGCTTGGTCACATTTCAAATATTTAAAACAATAAATAAATCAATAATTATTGATATCGACTGATATGAAACGCTTATATCGTAATAATATTTTCAGCCATGTTTGTGTTCACACAAATGCAGTTGGGTTAGTAGTAGAGTAAAGCTTTATTTGACTTTCCACCAACATGGGACTGGATATAAATCAGTCTTAAAGGGAGAATCATATTTCTCCAAAGAGTGTGTAGAGTTTTAGACTCTTTGTAAATAAATGGCTTCACCTTTACAGTACAGCTCTCCGTCCTTATCCGTCACTGTGGTCGACTCCAGGCTTTTACCACACAGAGCGCAGCGGAAACAGGTTTTATGCCAGGCCTGGAAACACAATATAAATGTTTATTATTTTGGAAAAAATAAATATTAGCTTGATATAGGCCTGTCACGATAACAGATTTTGCTGAGCGATTAATTGTCTCAAAAATTATTGAGATAAATAATATTGTTTGGAGACCTTTTTACACTGATTTAACGGAAATTACATAATAATACATGTGATTTCCTGCCAAAGATAGATACACTTTATTTTAAAAAAAAAACACTTAATGCTGGAACTGAAAAACAAAAACAAAATGGATTCTCAGTCTCCATTTACAAAAATTACTTGAATAAAAACTATATATATATGGTAAATGGACTGAACTTATATAGCGCTTTTCCAGTCATTTTGACCACTCAAAGCGCTTTACACTAGAGTCACATTCACCCATTCACACACCGATATGCAGACCGGTAGGCGATTTTGGGTTAAGTGCCAGAGGCACTTCGACATATGGCAGGAGAAAGCTGGAATCGAACCTACAACCTTCCGATTGCAAGACGGCAACTCTGCCACACAACCACAGTCGCCCCACTTTCAACTACTTAATTATAAAACCCTAGAAGAAATTATAAATCAATTAAGTTCAAGCTCCTGCTGTCTGGATGTCCTACCCACACATTTCTTTAACAAAGTCCTGCTGTTATTGCTGCTGATCTGATCCAAATCGTAAACTCATCGCTTACATCAGGTGTTTTCCCCCAGGCTTTGAAAACAGCAGTCATCAAACCACCGTTAAAAAAGAACAACCTGGACAAATCACTATTGCAGAATTACAGGCCAATCTCAAACCTCACATTCATCAGCAAAGTTATTGAAAAAACTGTGTGTAAACAATTAAATAGTTTCCTCATGATGACCAACTGCTTTGACACTTTCCAGTCTGGTTTTCGTGCTCACCACAGCACGGAGACTGCCCTCGTAAAAGTATTCAATGATATCCATATAAATATGGACTGTGGGAGAACCACGGTGCTGGTTCTGTTGGACCTCAGTGCAGCTTCTGACACTGTGGACCATGACATATTACTGAATCGACTGGAGAGTTGGGTTGGACTCTCCGGTTCGGTCCTCGACTGGTTTGAATCTTACATAAAGAACAGGGATTTCTTTGTTTCAATTGAAAACTTCTTATCAAAGAGGTCAAAGGTCACATGTGGGGTACCCCAAGGTTCAATCTTAGGACCCCTCTTATTTAATATTTATATTCTCCCACTAGCTCAGGTCATAACAGGAAATAATATTAGCTACCACAACTATGCGGATGATACTCAGCTCTACATTACGATGTCACCAGGTGACTCTGAACCCATCCAATCACTGAATAAATGCTTAGAACAGATAAATGTGTGGATGTGCCAAAACTTTCTCCAGCTGAACAAAAACAAAACTGAAGTCATTATTTTTGGACCTAAAGAGGAACGATCTAGAGTCAATGCACAGCTTCAGTTATTACAACTAAAACCTAGCGATCAGGCCCGAAACCTGGGATTAGTGATGGACTCGGACTTGAACCTCCAGAGCCACATAAAGACAGTAACAAAATCGGCCTTCTATCACCTGAAGAACATCTCCAGGATTAGAGGACTAATGTCTCAGCCAGATCTAGAGAAACTCATTCATGCGTTTGTCTTTAGTCGCATTGATTATTGCAACAGCATCTTCACAGGCCTGTCCAACAAATCAATCAGACAGCTGCAACCGATCCAGAAGCTGCTGCTCGCGTTCTCACTAGAACCAGGAAAATAGAGCACATAACACCAGTTTTAAAGTCCCTCCACTGGCTCCCTGTAGCTCAAAGAATAGATTTTAAAATACTGTTGTTAGTTTATAAATCACTGAACGGCTTCGCACCACAATACATTAAAGATCTGCTGTTGTTGTATCAACCTTCCAGACCTATCAGGTCTTCTGGTTCTGGTCTGCTCTGCATCCCAGAACCAGAACCAAGAGAGGAGAAGCAGCTTTCAGCATCTATGCACCAAAACTTTGGAACAAACTTCCAGACAACTGTAAAACAGTGGAAACCCTGACTTCTTTTAAATCGCAACTAAAAACACACCTGTTTAGAGTTTCATTTGAAATGTAATATGTAACAATGTATTGTCTATTATATGTTGCATGACTTTGTGTTCTTGTGTTTATGATGTAAAGCACTTTGAAATGCCTTGCTGAAATGTGCTATACAAATAAAATTTGATTGATTGATTGATTCTCCGCTTCCTATTGGACGAACGCGTACCACGTGGTTACATGTTATCCCGGATATTTTCCTTTAGTTGACTGATTTAGTTTAATTTCCCGCAACATACAAAGATTAAAACCGCCGGATCTTAATGAAATAAACACGCCACGGTCCACGCTTCGTTTGCAGGTTTAAAATAATGTTAAAGTTTGTGAACCGTGAGTCAAGCTTAGTGTCCCCGGAAAGGCTTCGCGTCCTCCCCGGCTCTTAGCATCGCTTCTCGGCCTTTTTGCTCAGATCAAGTGTAGTTTCTGTTCTTATCAGTTTAATATCTGATAGTCCCCTATATGGGACATCGTATTAAATTGATTTTTGGGACAGGGAGATGGACTAGGGGCTTGCTCTGTCCTCTCCAAGCATCAACCTGGTATTGCAGTATATCCGGGGATGGTGCACTTACTCCGTTCTGTTATATGGTAATATTGAAACTCTGCTGGACTGGAGGTGACAAGCTGAGCTTTCAGTATAGTTTAACCATGATATATACACCAGCTGAAAGGATATATAGACAATCTGCAAGTTGTTAACTTCTGGGAATTTTGTATAACACATGGTATCCGTAGCCACACTGCGAAGGTAGAACAACCCCGTTAACAAAACGGAATTATTAATATAGAAGGTTCTAGTGACTGGCAGAGTAAAGTCCACATAGGCCACATGTCCGTCTTAGCTAGCAGATAGGAACTGCATTAGCCAAGCATATTTTGCTAGTTTGGCAAAGTAAATATCAATGATCAATTAATAGTTGTACTATACTTATACTGCTAAGATAGTAACAAGGCAATAGCTAGCTCTAAGCTAGCTCTAAGCTAGTGGCTTGCTTATCATTGTCATAGCAACTTGATAGCAGCTGTCATGACAGTTAAGGTTTCCTACCAAGATGGCTTCCATAACAAAGTTACCGGAAGTGTGACATGAGAACTGTATTCTGAATGGGCCAAAATACGTCCATGAGAAAGTTAGAGACTCCACAAAGTTATTGTTATTGTACTCCATTTTAACTGCTGGTATTTTAAAGTAAAGTTTTCGTTTTTGTTCTTACCTTTCCTGCTCCCATCACCTTCTCGGCTGCGTACACCGCTTTGGAGCAGCGGGGGCAGCGGTCCGAGCCGCCGAACCTCTGCGAGAACTTGCTGGCGTTGGGGTTGGAAGCGGCTTGTCGAGGTTTAGAGCTGCAAAGAAAATTAAGGGACGGGAAAACATCCCGTGAAACCACAGCCACACTTAATTCGTACTACTTTAAAACTAGTTCTTCAGGCTTTCTAGAGTTTTTCCTTTCAAACTTTGGCCTCTATAACGATATTTTTAGCCCAGATTGTTCAGAAACGGGCACTGAGCCGTTACCTAGCAAATCCAGTGAAACTCCAGAATATTTGGTTGTTTTTGGTCAACTTTCCAGTGCAAATATCTTACATAGGCACAACTGATCAGACTAAAATCTCATTATTTAAGAATGACTTTGCTCAAAAAATATAATGAACATGTTTCGTACCACCCATAGACCTGAGCTGTTCAAGGAAGTGTCGTAGTTCACCTTTAATGTGATAAATCAACTCATCTGATTTGATGACCTATTTGGTGTTTAGGTCGTACTTTTGCAGCTGCGATTCTCCATCCTGTCCCGGAGGATCAGAGCTCAGCGCTCCAGCTCCTTGTCCATATCCGTACCCTTTTGGCCCGTATTTCTTCCCGTAGCAAGACTTGCAGTAAATCTCAGAGTCGTGAGCTGCGACCGTGGTGCTGTCCAGCCCTTTCCTGCAGCTCACTGTGGGGGGCAAAGCAGGACAAAATGTTTGATCCGTGTCCCATTTAAGCCGGACTGAGATATGTGTGACAGTAGATTAGATTGTAAATAGAAGAAAATGTAAAAAAAAAAGAGTAAATTTCTGCTAGGAAAATCTCAGAAACTTTCTGAAAATAGCAAGAAAAGTTTCAATAGATGCAAATTTCTCATAAAAAATTACAATTTTAATATGGGTCTCAGAACTTTTCTAGAAAAGAAAAATACATTTCTGAGTTTGAAAAATCGCAAATTTGCTACAACAGAGCTATTAAAAAAAACAGCTATTTTTGAATCTCAAAAGTTTGAAAACCTTCGATTGAAACTCAGAAAATACCCAGCAGACAGAAGTTTTTTTTTCTCACAAGTTTTTGAAATTAGTCTCAAGAATTCAGATTTTTTTCTAGCACATTTTTGGCTTTTTAAAACTGAGAAATTTCCTTGATTCTTTTTTTTTTCAAAATTTCTAAGATTTATCGAAAATATTTTGAACATTTTTCTAGCAAATTTTCTACTTTTCCAACAAATAAATGTGCTCGATTTTTCTCTACAGATCAATCCCAAAATTCAAAGTTTTTAGTAGAAATTGACTGCTCTTTTCTTAATGCCTGCTGTGGGCCTAATCCGCCGCTGCAGGAATGTCAGAAGTTAAATAAAGCTCTGATCTCGCCGGGTTTATCAGTCAACAGTCTTGTGTTGCTATTTTCAGTAGGAAGTGTGAAGTGTACGTTGGAGAGAAGATGAACTCTTAGCAGGTGGGATGAGTTTATCTCAGACGGCTTTCAGAGCTTCCCGGTGGAATAATGGATCCGTCACACGGACACCAACAAGCTGTGAGGATTTGTGCAGAGAACAGAAGCATTCAAGCCCTAAAGCAGAAATTTACCCCTCCTTTTATTCTATCATCAACTTTTACTCAATCATAGCATCCAGTCCATTTTAATAAAGTCAGAACAGATGGCATTAATCTCAGAAAGTTTCTAGATATGGTCATATTTATACTTGACCAATGTTTATGCTCAGGTGTTGGTCTGTCCTACAGCGTGTTGCTCATCTGCACCGTCCGTTTTACATAAATAAATCTTTTTAAAGTGAGAAGTAACCAGAATCCTTACTGCAGATGAAGCAGGTTTTGTGGAAACTCCTGCTGTTACACTGGATCTCCTCGGCGTGGTAAACCGTTTTCTCACAGGCGGCACACTTGGTGCCTCCGCCCCAGTTCGGCATCTCAGAAACCTCCTCTGATATTTATCAACGGCTGAAAACAAGACCGGAAGATAAAAGAAATATCCTGTTAACTATTCTTCAGCATCTCAGTCAAAAGGAGAGCTGCAAAAACAAAAATCAAATCAATTTAACTGAAAATTCAGTTTTTTAAACTGAGTTTGCTTAAAATTAGAAATCCAACTGAAACAGTTCATCGGATTAATCACGATTAATCGATAGTTGAAATAATCGACAACTAATTTGTCAATTAATTGTTAACTGAAGCATGTCTGTAGAAAAGGGAATTAGCTGAAAGAACAGTAAAATCAGAAATAAAACTTGTTTGTAAAGAAAATAAACATTTGGCATTTAAGGCAGAAAAAAATATTTTGTCTCTAAATTTGTCCACTGATTTCAAAAGTATATTTTTAGCTGCAGATTCAGAAAACGATCAAAATTATTTATTTCCTTATTTAAAAAAGAAATTCAAATTTGTTTATTTGCACATTTTAATGTATTTATAACACTTGAACAATCTGCAGTTCTTGCCTATTTTTCATCCTATTAATTGATTAATCTTCAGAATAATCAATTACTAAAATACTTAAATGTTTGAAGATATCATCACTGTCTGTCTCACAAGTCTGATTCTACTGTTTAATTTTTATTTTTTTATTTGCAAACAGCAAAACTAAATAGTTTTCTCATTTTTGTTGATATTATTTTGATTTGTTGATATTTTCTCACATGCCAGCTGCTGTGAAGGTTAGACTGGCCTCATGTTTCCATGGCTGGTATGAGGCGTTTCAAAAACAAAAACCATCCAATAACATTTTATTGGTAGAAAGAGTTTTTTAAAAACACAAATCCTCTAGAAATGTAAATAAATACCATTTTTCCGCGGTTTCATTGCAAAATTAAACATTGTTCTGATAAGTTTGTTTAGCCGCTGACATAAATAAAATGGTTCCTTACCTTCAGCTTGTGGGTTTGATGTGGCTGTTAACTCTGTTAGCAGGCGGGTTAAATACGCGCCATCAGCACAGACCGCTGCTGACGCTTCCTCCTAAAATAACCTGTGACAGATCCAAGCCCTGAAAGAGGCCCGAACATCAGGAGCTCAAACATTTGTCTGCTCAAACAGCCGCGTCTGCGTGGCATCTCCTAAACCCAGGGATCAAACGTCACGACAAATGTCGGTTTGGATGACGCCATGCAGACAAGAGAACGCTTTCTGATGGAAGAACTAAAAATATCTGATGTTAAGACGAGGTTTCAGTTGTTTACGCGACAGAAAGATCACTGAACAGAGCTTTTAGTTTTTAGTGAACATAATTTGTTCTATTCATTATTAGAATTTTATGAATGATGTGCTCAAAAAACAATGGGATAAGCATTGAGCCTTGGGGAACTCCAAGAAAGATTTAGCAGTTAGTAACAGTTGAAATGCACACATTCCATTAGAACTGTACTTCCTGACTGTAAACAGTCTGGAAAACACTGCAGAAATAAGCATTCAATTAATCAAAGTTTATAAATGTTTAGGTTTCATTTTCACAACTGAATATAAAATTCTAACATTTCATGAATTATGTGCTCCAAAACAACAATGGACCAAGCACTAAGCTTTGGGGAACTCCAAGAAACATTCAAGATCAGAGAATATTAGCAAACATTTTGTAACAGTTTTGTTTCACATTTATTGTTTGGAGATGATTGAACTAAAAAAGCTGAACATTAAATAATGCATTTATTTTTTTAATCGATGTAATCTTACCTTTTTTTTCAGCTGTTTTCAATATTTACAATTTAATACTTCATTCTGATGCAACGTTATCATTATTGAACTATTTATAATAAAAAAACTACTTATTTAGACAGTGCCTCATGCAGGAACTCACAAAACATCTGTTCATTAAAGAAATCTGAATTTAAATGTGCTCTCTATAATGAAATCTATTTAGTAAAATTTTATAAAGTTAAAAGAAAAAAAAAATCAGATGAGTTGATGTTTTTTACAAAAATCATCTTACAATTTATTCAACATTTTATAAGGAGTAAGACATCACAAACAAAAGTTTGTTTCCTCATAAATTAAACCCATCAAGCAGTAAATTTTTTCCCAAAATGCTTCAAATATTCACATAGTTCAGATTTCTACTCAGGGGTAACAGTTCACATGTTCATATGTGCAAAAGTGATCTCAGTTTTACTACAATATTGAAGTTTTTACCAATTAGGTCAATTGAAAGAAAACTCATTTTAAAAGCAAAGAAAAGCAAGAAAGTCGACAGGAATGAAAAATAAAGATGAAGATTTTAATCTAATTCTGGGAAATGTCTATCAGCGACGACGGAGAATTAGGGCCACGCTAAGAAAACCAAAAATTAAAATCACAAGAATAAAGTCACACTATGACAGCAAAGTGGAATAATACAAGAATAAAATGGTGAGACTATGAAAATAAACTTGGAAAAAAAAGAGAATACAGTCAAACTGCGGGAACAAACTTGCATGTTTGACTTTATTCTCAGAATATTGTGACTTTATTCCAGTAATTTTATGTATTTTTCCTTAGTTTGGCCCTGATGCTGGTTGTAAACGGCCTCACATGCAGCAGGGCGGTAGTGTTCCTGGGTATCTGAACTGGTTTCGTATCGGTTTCCCATAAGTCCGCTGGGCCTCAGCCAAAGTCTGCTTGGCAGCTATTTTTATGACTGATAACAAAAGGCCGCTGAGAAATGTTCAGAGGTAACAAAAATGTAAATAAACTAAAATCACAATCAGAGCGCGACCCCCAAGCGACCGGCCCAAACATCAGGAGTCCTCGGCCGAGACGTCCAGCTTCCTCTGAGGGACGTAAACCGTCCTGGAGGCCGGCTGCCCGCAAGGGGCTACCATGGCAGCCAGAGGCGAGAGCGGGACCGGCGTGTGGAAGAAGCTGTGATGAGGGAGACCCGACGCTTTCGGCGTGGCCATCAGAGGCTGAAAGACAGAAAAATTAAAGAACTGATGGGAAGGAAGGCTGTGAGAAGTCCTAGTTAAAGTTTTCACCTCTAGTTCTTGTTTTTTTTAAAGTCGAGTTTAGAAAGTTTACAGCTTCAAACAAATGTTGCTTGGCTTCCTGAGGAATGACATGATTACCAGATGATCCACTCTGAACAAGAAAGAAAGAAGCCAAAGAAAAAAAGGAAAAAGAATGAGGAAGGAAAGGAAGTAAAAAATGAAGGAAGGAAGTAAAGAAGGGAAATAAGGTAGAAAGGAAAGAATGAAGGAAGGATGGAGGTCAACAAACAGAAAGGAAAAAAATATAAAGTAAGGAAGCAGAGAAGAACTGAAGGAAGGAAGAAAGAAATGGCTGCCAATAGTAACCGTCTACATTATGCAAACTCTCAGTCTGCACCAATGAAGATCTTCCATATACCTGCTGCAGGCTGATCAGAGTGAGCGGCTGTCCAGACAACGACGGCTGGACCGGAACCGGTGAGACAGGCTTGATGAACACCAAGCCTCTGGGCTGCAGGCCCAGCGGACTCGGAGCGGCGCCAGCGCCCTCTGGAGGCTGGGGGGACCCGAAGGCTCCGCCAGGGCTGGAGATCAGACCCAAGTTCTGCAGCGTGAAGTTCAGGATGGCGGGGCTGGGACTGCTGACCCGACCGGGTTGGTGTAGAGACGAGACAGCGGCGGCGGCCGGGGGTTTGCTCAGGCGAAGGTTGGTGGGGGTCACTTCAAGGGCGGCGGCCGGTCTGGAGCCTGACGACAGAAAAATGATACGGATCAATGAGAATTCATCAATACTGATTCCAATACGGAGCTCACTTATTGGCTCTCGTTGAGTTAGGAAATGATTCAAAATACTCACAATGTAGTATTTAAAAAAAGATTTAATCAAAACTTTTTTTAAAATTGTCAAATTAACACCTGAACATGAAAAGCTAAATTTTCCTTTTCAGAAAAAATCTTTCAAGAGCAAAATCTCACATTTTTGTACTTCCTATCGGGTCTCTACTGCTTCTTAAAACGTTGAAATAATCCAAGAATAACATTGAAATAATCCATGAAAAGAGTAATAATACGAGAATAAAGATTAAATAATATGAAAATAAAGTTGAAAACATGCCAGAATAAAGAAGAAACACAAAAATAAAATATAAATAAAGTTGAAATATTACAATTTTATTATTTCAAATTTCTTCTCATGTTATTTTTCTTATTTTCTTAGCGTCGCCCTAATACTCGGTTGTATTTTTTAAATTCAAAATATTATACAAATATTTCCTTTTTTGTTATAGAAATACATTCGACCTTCTTATAAGAGAAAACTGCATTTTTTAAAACAAAATGGCCGCTCATATTGATAATACCAACCAACCGTAGATTAATTCATCATTTAGTCGATCATTTGCTTTCCTCATCTGGGATTACAGTGAAGGTACTCGCCTGCAGTCGGTGTTTGGAAGATGTAAGAGGACTTGTTGCTTTCTTCTGCAGAGTTTTGTAATTCCCTGAAGCTGATGAGGGATTGCTGAGAGATTGGGATTAAATATCCGGCTGGGACCAAAGTCTGGAGAGAATGAGACGGACTGGATGTTAAACCAAACGCTTTTCTCCCCTCCACCCAGCAGAGCCGATCGCTCACCTCAGAGTGGATCTGTCCGGGTGTGAGCGGCACCGCCCGGACCGGCGTGAACCCCGCCTCCAGGTCAGAGGTCGCAGGCCTGTCGTCTCTGTCCAGGAGGTTCTCCAGGCTGTGCTCCAGCGTCGGGCCGGCGGCGCCGGGGGTGTTGACAAACTCCGGGTCCAGGTGGAGCGCGCGTGGCGAGGGCCGGCTGACGAGGTGAGCGCCGCGGCGCGCCTTCAGCCGGGCCTGCAGGATCTCGCCGAGCTTCGGAGAGCCGTCCTGCACGGAGCGAGGAAAGGTCAAAACCAGGGTTCAGACGCCGAGACCTCAGTGAGTCTTCAAACTTTTCCAGCTAAAAACAACTTCAATGTTTCAATTCACTATTTTATGACATAATTTAACGACTTAAGATCAACATTCTGCAACTGGAGCTAGAATGGTACCTAACAATGTGTGAAAAGATCTGGTTCCAACTGTAAATCACATTTTGTAAATGCAAAAACAACAAAATCCTTTAAAATATTTACATTTCAATTAGATGTTCTAAAGCTTTGGGAAGTGTTTAAATGTACTAGATTATAGAAATTGTGCAGTTTTGTATTAAAGTGCAATTTAACATATATGAAAATATTACACTACAAAAACACAAAATCTTACCAAGTATTTTAATCCAGTTTCTAGTGCAGTTTCAAGCTTGAAATAAGAGAAAACTTACAAGGGAATAACATTAAAAGCCAAATTTTAAAATGAATTAAAGACATTTTAGGGCCTTAATTTTAGATGCACAAATTCAAGACTTTTGAAGACCATAATGAATTATATTTAAGACCTGTAAAAAAATACCAGTTTGGATTCCCATGTTAAAGGCCGACTTTTTTAAAATAAATTCACAAATTTAAGGCCTTAAGTTTGATGCACAAATAAATTTAAGACCCGTGTATATAAAAAGAAACCGTTTATGAGATTAAATAGCATCCTCAAGACAAAGTGTGAGATGTGGGAATAACACTAAAAACTAACTCTAAAAGTTAAAAAAGGCATTTTAAGGCCCTAATGTTATACACATAAATTTACCCCAAATACCATGGCAACCGCCCGTGGTAATGTGCACCAATACATTTTCTAAAGTTAGGTAAATTTCTTTAAGGTAAGCAACTTACCTTTAAGTTGGGGTCGGGCCGCTTGGCTTTCGAGGGGCTGCTCTCTGCGGTGGAACCCGAATGTTGACGTTTGAGCGTCAGAGGACTGCCGTCGGACTCCCTGGACGCCGGTCGGCTCTTGGCCGCAGACGGCGCGCTCGGACTCTGGCCCGTCTTGTCCTCGAACGTCATGGAGCGCACCGCGAGGCTGGTGGGCTGCGGTCTGGACAGAGCGTTTGACCTG